TCACTGTGTTTAAGGTTTGAATTTCACTCGCGCCTCGATAGTAGCCACGAATCAGCGTCCTCCTGGTTATTTCTACCCGTTTAAAGTCTATTTTGCCTTCACTGTCCCTAAACCCCAATGTTTTGAAAAATTCAGCGCCATTATCTCCGACTATAGGGTGGAGCTCTTTACAGAACATTATCAAATGTTCAGCCGTTTCCTCCTCCTCTCCACATGCACTACATACCGTGTCTGTGCCTTCGTATTTTTGCTCGGTACGTCTCGGTCCGCAATACTCCCGTTCCATCTTCGAAGAGCAGAAAACTAACCCGACAATGATCGTAGATCTTTTCCCTTGCAATTTCTCGCTTAAAAGTTCGGTAGGTCTCCAGTGATGATTTCGTAGGCATTCCCATCTTCCACGTATGCCTCTCTGTTTCAGTCACCTTCTTAACCGATGTTTCCTTTTGGCTTCGTATTCTGCTGCGGTCGAAATACTTGTTTGACAGTTCTCCAATTCGCTTCCTCCATTTAGTATCAACATTCTTCATGTACAAGTAGCTGAAAACTTTCCTAGCCCAATGCTCCTCTCCCATTATTCTCAACCACTCCTCAAATTCTATCTTGCTGCTAGCTTCCCTGCACTCAAACAATGGCCATTCTATGTCACCCTGTACCCCCTGATTTGGTGCATTCCCGAGTGCTCCCAATAACCAAGGTGACAAGATACATCTTCGTCGAAGCCCGCGTTTATATCTCTATGGGTTCAGATACCTGTTCTTTCCATTTGATAACCACCTTGTCACTTTTATATCCACTCTTTAGAAGATAAGTTATGCGATCTTCCACATCAAGTGTGTCCAGTATTCCTGACAAGTCTTCTTGAATCACCCTATCGTAAGCTCCCTTGATATCTAGAAATGACAGTCACAGGGGCCTGAGTTCTTTTTCCGCTATTTCAATACACTGCATCAATAAAAACATATTGTCTTCCAACCTCCTTCGTTTACAGAACCTATTTTGTACTCCTCCCAGCACCCCCTTATTCTTCACCCATGTTTGTAGTCTTTCCCATCTACATCACCAGCCTGTGAACTACTGATGTCACTGTTATAATAGCGAAAGCTGGGCTAGTTGGTGGTTCATACTTGGGAAGTAAAAACAACGAAAATGTATAGACAAGGACGGAGGAAAAGACGACACCGCGCTGAACCCGCAACTTAACTTTATTGAAAGATACACGCACAAATATCAAGCATTTGCCCCAGTCACGTGGACAACCAAAGGCATCTGCGCATTAAAGCAAACAAGGTATGAGACAAGCCTATTCATATTGATAATTGACACGTGTGTAACAACCACGAAAAAACACAAAAACGTGCCTTCCTACTTGCCAAAAACTTACGGAACGGTCCCCAACAAACTACCAATCACTTTAGCATGGCAGCGCTGAATCCAGGTACCGAACCCAGGTGCCGAACACAGGTACGCGAAAAAGTTGGTGAGCTTAAGTCAGTACAGACCGAGAGACAGTCTGTTAGAACAATCACCGCTGATAGATCTTGCGGCACTTTACGCAATGCTAGGACTATTGCCTGTAGTTCAGTTTGGTAAATAGGTGTTAAGTCGGGTAATCAAATTGAGAAAGCCCAATCTAGAGATAATGATACAATTCCGACACCAGCCTTCTGTTATAGCACGATAATTGTTTATATCGGCTTTGTCGCCCCTTTTTTTTATAGATCATTCTATAGTACAAGGAGCGCCATCTATGGCCGGATTGAAGACCCAACAAGCAGTGGGTACAAACGCTAATCGGACGATCAGGTGACGCCATAAGGAGCTTCGCCCCTAAAACCTCGGTAGATAAAAAAGGCACTAAGGACACAGTGGCATTCGAACCTGGCTCTGTAACGTCCCAGCCCAGTATTCAACCACTGAGCAATGTCAGTGCTTGAAACTCGTTTCCGAACTCGCCTTCGGCAGGCTTCATGTCCGGATAGGAATCGCGTTGATATGAGTAATAAAGCGTTTTAGAGCAGCAAAAAAACAACCACAATGCGAAAAAAACACACAATGTGAATCGTATAACGAGTGGGTCGTGCAATGCCCCAACACATTACGAATTCAATGATCTTCTCAATTGCTGGCACTCGCCAACAAAGGGGGATCGGCAAAGAACTGGATGGAAGGTTCTTTAAGTTAGTTTGTTATGTACTTAAAGCATCCAATAATTTTAATAAAATACTAGAAAAATCGTAAATAATGTATGGAAGTGTTACTTAAGCTAGCGGTCAGGCAATCAGACAGTCTTTGAGCCATAAATCATAATAATAAAGAGCTAACAGATAGTCTTTTCTTTCAATCATGTACGCCCACACAAGAGAGCATACCTCCATGTGGCTAAAACCTAATGCAATTCCACCAAAATATAAAATTACTGCCACGTTTATTTGCAGACCTATAGCTTTTCAATTAGATTGACAAGTATATTTTGCTTTGACAAGAATATTGGTGACAGAATAAAAAGAAAAAAATTTATTGTTTCTATAGATTTCCTTGCAATGAGACATAACGGAGATACCGCGAGTCCAACTTGATGTAAGTAATAATTCAGGTTTGGAATTCGAGGCCTGTTCTTCATTACCTTTAACTATGGCAATTACTCACTTCAGGCGTAGTTCTTCATCGTCGCAAGCCACTGAATGCAACAGAAAATACGCACGAAATTCATTGCAAGTGTTTAGCGCAAACCACGCTTCTCCGATGAATGGCGAAGGCTAGTATAGTGAATGCCGGCATACTAGACAGAAGTTATGATTACGCCGTAGGGGGTACCCAGCAGGTATGCTTCCAGCAATTACCCAAAGAGTGTTTAGAAAAGAATCTGGAAGGCCGCTCTTCAGGGTTTCTCTTATTGTAAGCCTGGTGATTTTTTTTGTCGACACTGTTATCACGCGCAAAAAAATGCCCCTAACGACAATATTTAGAGTCCCTAAAGACAATGTTAAATAATATTTATGAACCCATCAGCAGTTAACTGATTCAACACTTGCGCTGCTAGTGGATGAGTGATCCCGTACAAATGCAAGGTATGATGAGTGTGATAATACATCCACATACAAGACTAAGGTTTATATGTCACCATATTCAGTGGCTGCTCAAGCATGATATATAGGAAAGTGCTTTGTCAAAATACAGTGACGTTATTTCGTCAGCTTTCAAAAATTTTTCACTGCAGTGCAAAATGCTTCCTCTTCCTGACGCATTGAAGGGGAAAAAACGCTAAACAACCCAAGTACTTTCTTCTTAGCTTTCTTTAATTTATTATTTAAACCCTTACTTTTTCTTGCCTCCACTTCCCTTTCTACGCACATGCTCTGTTCTCGTTCGCAAAGCGAGAGACTCGATCTTTATTAGAAAAACAGATGTTTTTTTTAATGCCATTCAATTCATGGGGCTAGCAGGGCAGTTGCTCCGTTCTACAATGCACTTGCCGGAACATTGCTCTCAGCAATATCACCTTTCCAACGTTTTCTCGTCGTTCCCAGCATCTATTTCACCCTGAAATTCTCTTGTGTAGGCAGGCAGACCGACAGGCAAGCACACAAAGAAGTAGGCAAACAAGCAGACAAGCGGAAATTGTGAAAGCACCGCATGCGACAACAAATGCTCGTATTTGTGGTAACTATGCCACATGGTAACTATGCCGCATAAAGATGTCAGCCCGTGGCTGCAAAACAACATAGCTCGACATCTTCAGAAGTATACTGCACCCCTGCTTATACTATATTATGATGTCTTTTAAACATTCAGTATTTAGGACAAAATTATACAGTGCTCCCTCGCCACTGAGTACGGGTGCCCAACGCCACTCACCCCCCCCCCCCTCTTTTTCTTCTACAGCGAAAGCTGTTATCAGATCTGAACACGGGTCACGTACGGCACCGTAGTTGTCCGCCGCCGCTGCCACTGGTGGGCGTAACCAATATCGCAAGAAATAAGAAAAAAATACTTTGTAAATAAAACACCAAGGGCATAGCAGAATTTTAACTCGAGTCTCCTGCGTGCAAGCCCAGCATTCCACCGCAGAGCCACACCAGTGCGTGAATTCTAATGCAATTTTGCCTTAGGCAGGCTTGACTGCTGGAACAGAATCGCGTTATTTTGAGTAATAAAGCGTTTTAGAACATCAAAGGAAACGCAACGCGTCACACAATGCGAATTACGTAACGAGGGGGTCGTCCAGCGCCCGAACCCATTAGAAAACTTGTTGGCCACCTATGAACTGTGGCGCATACCCACTTCAGGTATGAGTCTTCGTCATCACGGTAGAAAACATTGCACTGAATTCTATTCTAGTGTGTAGCGGATACCACGCTTCTCCGAAGAATGGCGAAGGATAGTAAGATGAAGGCTGGCCTACTACACAAAAATTATTGTTTATGGCATAGTTGGTACCAAGCAAGTTTGCTTGTAGCAGTTACTCAACAATTGTTTTGAAAAGGCTCTGAATGGCCGATTTTCCAGCTTTCGCTGTGACTGTATTGCGCGCTCCACGTAGGCCTGGCGTTTTTTTTTCTACTATATTACTCTTTAAAGGTTTTGCGGGCTGTTTTGTCGGCGGTATATTTTGTGCCATTGGTCCTCCTATACACGTTTTGGTCCTCCTATAGTACAAGACCATTTCGTCAGTTTTGTGTTTGGTTGTATTAATTGTTAGAGTAAAGCGTCCCAGAATCACTACATCATTATAAGAGATGCCGTAGTTGAGGGCTCCGTTGATTTAAACCACCTGGGACAAATTTAACGTGCGCCTAAATCAGCACAGTGCACCAAGCAATTTCACCTCCGCTGAAAATGTGGCCGCCACGGCTAGGATTCGATCTCGCGACTTTCGGGTCAGCAGCCGAGTGCCTCAGCCCCCAGGCCACCATGGGTGGTAATGTTCTAAATAGGTACACTCTGCAATGCTCAGGCTAGTTTTCACAGCATACAGTCGTAAATTGAAGACCACCCACCTGATATTTTCAGGGTAAGGCATTCCATGGGTTACGATGCTTGTCTCCAGGGCGACAACAGGACGGACATCATTTAGTGCAGCAGCCACTTCGTCAGAGATGACGAAAAGTCCTGGTATAAAAAGAAAGAATCTGATGGCCCGATTTTCTTGTTTCGAGTTCACGTTTCAGTACGTCGGGCACTGCAAAATTATCTATTGAGAATGTCTTTCAGCAAGTGCCATGGTAAATTAGAATTCCATTGATTGATTGATTGATTGATTGATTGATGAATTGATTGATGGATTGATTGATTGATTGATTGATTGATTGATATGTGGGGTTTAACGTCCCAAAACCATCATATGATTATGAGAGACGCCGTAGTGGAGGGCTCCGGAAATTTTGACCACCTGGGGTTCCTTAACGTGCACCCAAATCTGAGCACACGGGCATACAACACTTCCGCCTCCATCGGAAATACAGCCGCTGCAGCCGGGATTCGGACCCGCGACCTGCGGGTTAGCAGCCAAGTACCTTAGCCACTAGACCACCGCGGCGGGGCATAAATTAGAATTCCGCTTCCAGTTATAGGATGGCGTATACTTAATACTTTGTGATCTGCTCCTAGATTCAATGCACACGTGCATCAGCTTCCCCTATAAGTACTTCCATCAGGACTACACCTATTGTTTATTTGTGGACCAAGTTTATCAGGAATGTCATTCATTGATAAATTAAAGAAAACTTCAGCGTCATCTGTAGAAAAAGCAAAGATTTCACCATTACCATTCTAGGCTGCACCAACTCGGGAATTTGCTGTGCAGTAATAAATGAGCCAGTTTGCCTCACTGACACCTAAACATCCATGTCTTGTGTTGATTCATTGATATGTAGGGTTTAACGTCCAAACACCACAATATCATTAGGAGAGACGCCATAGGGGAGGGCTCCAAAAATTTCGACCACCTGGGATTCTTTAACGTGCACCCAAATCTGAGTACACCGCCCACAGCATTTTCGCCTCCATCGAAAATGCAGCCGCCGGAGCCCGGATTTCCCTGTATTCTGAGGCTGCTCAACAAGAAGACGAAAATAAAAAAAAACTCGAGGTAGTAAAGACGCAAATGTAGCAAAAGGATCTGCTCTACATTGAGGAGCTACTCTGAAGGAAATGTGCGGGAGCTTTCATTCGACACAGCAGCAATATTTCCATGCGCGTTTCTTACTTACACTCATGTTTCAGTCGGTTTTCGACCACAAGGCCTGTCTGGAATGCTCAACGAAAACTGCGCCTCGTTGTTCTAGAAGGTTCACGATTAGAGTATATCGTTTTAAAATTCCGTCCACTTCGTGGGCACTACAGATTATTCCGAAACCTACGCGGCCCCTAGCGATAATGCTAGAAAGTTCGACACCTCAAGTATAAATGCTGACTCGTCAGTTGATCGGCGACCGACGCTCTGCTCCCTGCTATAAGGGCCAGTTTCTTGCTGTAATCTCTTTCTTTTTATGTGGCCACAAGTTGGGCCCAATTCAACCGTTAAATATTTCTGTGTTCCGTCCAAAAGTTTTGTTGCCGCATCGTTTCACTGCCGATGATTCTCAGCTCAAACCACGCCTACACTGTTCGAGAAACTTCGGGATAACAGTAGATCACTTTGTTAAGATTACGCCCACGCCCATTTTGTGAACATTACAGATTACTCTGGAACATACGTCACCGCTAGCGATAACGCTACAATATTCGATGACAAGTGTATAAATGCCGACACGATTCACCGCTTGTCAGTTGATTGACGGCCGACGCTCTGTTCACCGCTAACAGTGCCAGTGTCTTATACTTTCCTTTTGCGTGGCCACAAGTTTGACCCAAATAAACAGTTTCTTCTTCGACCTGGAGTCTGCTTCATTATTCACGTCATGACCGTGTGACAATATTATACCTGCAGTCTGCTCCCTTCGTACGCGTAAGGACACCATGACAGTATATTCGCTGAGAGTTTACATGTTAGCGCCAATATTCTAGTAATATAAACTTGGTGTAACCCGGATAGTATAGCCGGACACAGATACTTTGTACATCTATAAAGAGCCGATGCAAGATACTCGGTCCAAACAATTTCGACTATTTGGCAAGTTTACCACAAAACAAGCGGCCCATAACCTTGGTCCCGGCTGGGGGCACGCTGCGTGCACGAACACTGCCGCCACAGTCTGTCGGCCACTCGTCCTCGGTGATGTACTTCCTGACGCTTTCATCATGCGCACTGCCGTCGGATCACGCATCGTGTCGTAGAAAGTGGGACCAAGGGGGTTTATCAGTGGTGATTCCCGCAAGGCGCTGTCGTTATTGTATCAGATACTACAGCAGCAAAACAGATGGCTGGGTGAGTTGGTATGTATTCATGATATAACCTTTTTAGCGCACACAAAGAGCTGGTTACCAGGTCCTTATATGTTTTATTCCTTTCAAAAATGAGTTAGTTGTGAGTTAGCGCTCGGCTGCCTCTTTCGTGTTCCTTTTTTGTGCAGTCTAAACAAGTTATATTAATGTCAGGTACTATATTTTCCATTGGTCGTCAATAGGCCCGTCCATTTTAGGTTATAGATATGCAGTATACAGTGTAAAAGTAAATGCACGTGAACAAAACGTTTCTTGAAATCTTAATACCTGTGATGACCATCATACGATGTGAACAAAAATTTGGCATATACCCGTACCATGGGAATGAATGTTACGCGAAGCATGAAGAACTTTTTTATGGGACAATTTTAAAATGAGGCTAACGTTACGAGGTGGGTGAGGGCAGTACTCACTAAATAAATGCAAAAGTTTTATACGCAATGACGTATGTATCAAACGGGCGAATGAGATAACTGGTTGTTGATTGTAGCGGGTGACGCCACCACCGAAGCGCACAATACTAGCACCAGCAGTTATCGGCTGAAATGTTCTTGCATTAGCCCAAGATGTCGGTAAGGTGAACCGCAATGCTGAAGTATACGCTGCACTTTTTGCTTCTGAGTGAAGTGTTAGAAATGAATCTATGTTAATTTCACTAGTAGTGTACACATCTTGGGCTTACTAGGAAATTATACTACACTGGGGTCTACTAGTGGCTACAGAGGTGAACTTTCGGTCTCATATTACGTCAGCACTTACGCTGTAGCTCTGACGCCTATGCTAGCGAAACAATTAAAGAGCGCTATTTGGTGTGGCAGCGCTAATATTGGCCGTGCCTTTTGATAGCGTATGGACTCGAACTCAAGCGACGCTTGAATATAGATTTCTGAATTATAGGAATGCAGGCGCAATTATAACGCTACAAAAGGGGAGTGAACATCGACACCACAAATAAAATTAACCCTGCATGATGTCTGTGTCATTGGTTTGCATGTGCCATGTTTTTCACTTTGTTGTAAGATAAAACAGGCCACACTGCAACCACAGATGAAGTTTCACCAACCTTACACCCACATAATGTCTTTTGTTGTGAAGCAGTTTCATTATAGGCATGACTGGGGGGAACAAGACGCGATTTCCTAGCAGAACAATTCGCTTTGATTGCTGCGGAGACCCTGCTTTTTCATCTTTGCATTGATCGAATCTAGGCCGAGGATGTCAGTTTTTTTTTTAACTCTCACATTTATAGACGACGATGACGATCTAATTTTTATTGGTTAACGGGTCAATAAATGGCCAAAGTGATCCAGGACACATTGAATGTGAACGATAGGGATGTTAAATGGCTGAATAGCGTAAACCATATGGGGGGTAAAACGTATCAGTTACAAAATCATGAGAAAGACGTGACGTATGTGGAGTGAGGATCATTGATAAGTGGCCGTAATAATTAAACAATGCAGAAATGACACGAGCACAAATTTCTCGGCAACATCGCTTGTACCCAAGGGCCACGAGGCAGGTGCTATTTGAATGAAGTGACCACAGCAGTGACCTCTATGAAGAGGTTGTGCTAAGGTTGGCTGAAAATATGACGTGAAAACTATCGACCTCCTTTAAAAATGACCGCTCTAAGAGTTCGCACAAATGGTTATCCAGCGAAAGCAAAACCGTTCGGTCCCGGCGCTTAGTAGTGGGATCAACTATGCAAAGCATCGTTGGCGCGAAACGAAGCAAAAGACTTGGAAAAAACTCGGATAGCAGAGCCAACGAAGGCCGCTCATGCTACCAATGCGGAATGGTTTTTCCATTTTTCTAGACAAATGCAGCTTTCGCTGTAAAAGGCGAACAATGATTCGTATTTAAAATGCGGTTTTCTTCTGGTAAACAATGATCAGTGTAAAGGAAGTTGTGATCGGTAGGGTTACAAAAAGTGTTTTCTTCTACTTGCATCCAGTTCCTTTCAATGCATAAAACACGTTCGGCGTAGACGTCGAATACAAGTGGGAGAGGGGGGTAAAACTGCCTTCCCAACTCAAATTTCTCAGGGGGAGCATCAACCATTCCGGAAAGATTTCTGGTTACTATACCTTCTATTCTTTCACATAATTGCTCCTTGGGTCATTACAAAAAAATAATGGATTGTCTCCCTTTTGCCCAAGTGTGTAAATGTAGATTTTGAATTCTTGATTTCTGTTATTAATCCATCACACCAATCACTGAAGCTTTACAGACAGTTCTGAACTTAACGTTAGCCGTCTAGTTTGGTACATCGGACGCATAGATAAAACAGTCGTCTGTGATAGGTTTAACCTGATCCACCTATTCTGCCAAACTACATGATGTCATTGGTGTAAAGAAGAAACCATACAGGTCGAAACACCGACTCTTCGAGGCTTCGTGAAATTACAGGTAAAGGATCTGATACATGGCCATTCAGTTTAACCACCTGTGTACAGTTTGTTGGGTACGTATGCTTGATTTCAATTTATTACTACTTTGTTAATTGTACATCGCGTAATTTGAAGACTAATTGGACATGACGTATTTTATCGAGTGTTATAGCAATATCTACGTAAACTACATCAACCTACTGAAATCGCAAATATTGGGGGACCCTTAGGCTGCACCATTAAGAATTGAACGCGATAGCAAAATCCGGCCCCTAGTGCGCCCTTCAACCGCTAAATGCATACTTAATATCTTTTGTTACACACTCACACACA